GTAGCAACAAGTGATACACCCATTAGCTGATAGAGCCACCATACAAAAAATTCGCCTGCAGTTTAAGGGTTAAAACACTGTTTGCTTTGTTTTTTAAAAACATAAGTAATGGATCTCTGATTCCCCCCCCCCCAATTAGACTATAAGGTCCCCAATGCTGGATCTTATTGCATCCCCAGTGCCCAAGATTTATTCATGGAGGCTCTACCATGTTCTAAATCCCAGGGGATACAAAGGTAAGCAATACACAGTTCCAGCCATCAGTCTGCACCCGTGAAATTTTTCCCCATCTAGGATCAGGTTAATGTGCTTTAGCCCAAAGGTGATTGCAAAGTTTACTTATGCAGCTGGAAGTATACCAAGTCAGAAATGAACTCTGAACCACCCAAGTGTTATTTGCCTAAGTAAAGATGAACTGGAATCATTGCAACTTTTAGTAATGGAAGGGACTGACAAGACCATTGTATTACTGGTTTTTCAATCCTGGCTCATCACCAGAACATTAAAAAAAAATGTTTTTAGCCCTGGCCAGTTTGGCTCATAGGTTAGAGCATTCGCCCGCGAACCAGAGAGTCTCAAGTTCAGTTCCCACTAAGGGCATGTACCTCGGTTACAGTTTGTCCCCGGCCCTGGTTGGGGTTGTGTGGGTGGCAACCACTCGATGTGTCTCTCTCACACTGATGTTTCTCTCTCTCTTTTCTTCCCTCTCTCCCTCCTCCTCTATCTGAAGATAAATGCAAAAATGTCCTCGGGTGAGGATAAAAAAATCCTTTAAGGAAAAAAAAATAGTTTTTATTGATTTTAGAGAAAGAGGAAGGGAGAAGGAGAGAGAGGAAGAGAGAAACATTGATGTGAGAAACATCAGTCGGCTGCCTCCTGCACAGCCTTCTGGGGATTGGCGTGCGCTGACCGACAATGAAACCGGAGGCCTTTAGGAGCATGGAACGGTGCTCACCCAGCTGAGCCACAGCGGCCAGGACAATCAGTCACCAGAACTTTCTAAATTACAGATTCCTAGTCCCCATCTATATTTAGTTGAATACTCTGGCACAAGGCCCAGGCACCTGTGTTGTTAAAGTCTTAAAGCTGATGATCACAAGACTTCACCCCTCCCATCAGAACCCTCCCTTCGATGAATGAATCTCATGCTGAGTTGCACTAAGCATTTATGATGACATTAACAGGCCTGAAGGTGAACACAGAGGGACCACCTCCAGGTGACCACATGTGTCCATTAGTTATTGTTAGCATAACAAACTATTCCAAAACTAGGAGCTTAAAACAATAAGTTCTGATTATGCTCATAAGTCTGTGGATCTGGATCAGTCTGTCTGATCTCCGCTGGGCCTCTCCTGTCTGAGGTCAGCCGGCTGGTACAGGACCGCCTGTCTCACACACATCTGGTGTGAGTTTGCTGTCACCTGGGCTGACAGGGGTCTCTGAACACAGCAAGCAGGACCAGGAGTGTCCATATGGTGCCTGGGCTGGATTCCAAGACAACAAGCAGAAGAGTGCGAGGCCTCTTAAGACCCAGACTGGGGCTCAGTACAATGCATACATTTACTTCTGCACATTCTACTGGCCAAAGTAAGTTACAAGGCCAAGCTCAGGTTCAGGGAAACAGACTCCATCTCTTGATAAGAGGAGCTACAAAACCATATCACAAGGGACTAGATTCAAAAAGGGGAATTGCTGGGGCCGATCTGGAAACCAATTTATTGCATACCTAATATAATGGGAGAAAAACATCACCTGCAGCCAAATGTGATTTCTAAGTCTGGGCCAACGTTTTCACCCTAATCTCCAAAACGCATGAAATCCTCAGACTGATGTTTCATCGGCTATTCCTCATTTCTACTCCTGCCTGCACACATACGCATCTAACTGAATCCTCGAGATCTCAGTCTCACTAAAGCAGAACAAACCTGTCTCAACGCTATTTCATGTTCTCCTTCGGGGTTTTCCAAGGTGGACGACATACCAACCCCATGAGGATCTGTTCAGGGCAAGTGTCTCTGTGATGTCTCTTCCTGGCCTATGGATAAACTACGGCCAAGTGATCATCAGGGCCACATCTTCCAAAGGACCCCACAGTACTAACATGAGGAGCACCAATGTCTCATAATATTACAGGAAAAAGATGACACATGAGACCAGCGAAAAGCCCCAAGGAGCAGGAAACTGGAGCTCACTGAAGATTACAGGCTGAGGCTAATTATATTTCAGCCACCAGATGCCGGCTGAGCCCTCTTCGCTCCCTTTTCCCCAACTGTGACCACTCAGGAAATGCACACAAACTACGGTGGCTGAATTCACAGCCCTTTTCCCTGAGCCAGGCCCATGGCTGCGGTGCAGCCGTAGTTATTACAGCATCCCCACAACTGAGGTGCTGCCTGCTGCATTCTGGCTTTTTTTTTTTTTTTTTATCACCATGATCTTTTGGCAAGCTCCACTCAAATTCTCTAAACACCTACCTACTTGTGAGGTCTAGAACAGCAGGGAGTGGTAGAGAAATGAATTCCAGAAATCAGAAAACACAGGATGGCAGAGAAGTGGCCTGGCTGGGCAGCGCCTGCCGGCCGGAGGGCAGGCCCTCAGAGGGGGAGGGGAAGCAGGTGCTCACAGGCAAGGCTGTGGGTGCACACGGTTTGGCTCCCATTTGTGAGGCCAGTTCTCCATCCGCTTGGTGGGATCCCGGCTTAGAAGACTAAACAAAAGGTGTACATGAAAATACAATGAAATAAAAGGAAATGCTAAATTCACCTTGAAGAGGCCTCAGAAAAGCCGAAGTCAAGAAGAAACTGCGTTCAGTTTAGTTTCTGCAGAAACCGCGTTCAGTTTAGTTTCCGAAGAAACCCTAGACAGTTCTGGAACTGCGCAGAACAGGCCATCACTAGCCAACGCGGCCCACCTCCTCTAAACTGTGCTCTGTTCCTGAGCACCGGGTCTGGGAGACAAGTGGTTTGGGAGGGATGACGATGTTTTACCGGAATGCATAGCATCCAGAGTGCAAATGCCTGTGAGGGCCAGATGGTTACCAGTATTGTTAACCCCTCGGGTGGCTTGGAATGGCATCCATTTGTTTTTCAGTCATAACTGAAAAGAGTCACACATTCAAACCTCGCTGCTCCAGTAAAATCATCATAATGGCTCCCATCCCCTTCTTGCTCACTCAGCAACAGAATAAGCGGCATTCTTGGATCGTCTTCTAAAGAGCTGGCGGCCTGGGCTGCAGTCAATCTATGCTTTGGATTTATCAGCCAAGGGGAAACCTCAGCTGGAAGGAAGCAGACTGCTGGCATTACCCCGGGAACACAACAGCGGCAATGATGAACAGCTACTGATTTCAACAAGAAAACGTAGTATACTTCCCCGAAACTTAGAAGAGGGGTATGCAGTCTAAGAGGCGGATTTACACCCTGCCTTCACCCTTCATACCCTTTTTGGTACACCATTTTTTTTCCTAATTATTTTTTCTTTATTGGTTTTAGAGAGAGAGGAAGGGAGAGGGAGAAAGAGATAGAAACATCGATGAGAGAGAACATCAATTAGCCGCTTCCTGCATGCCCCGCACTGGGGATTTGGCCCACAACCTGGTCATATGCCCTGACCAGGAGTTGAACCAGCGACCTCTTGGTACATGGGTCAATGCTCAACCACTGAGCCGGGCGGTACACCATTTTTTAGGACTATTGTTCACAGCTGTTTAAAATACCTAACTATGGTAAGTGTAGGTTACTCCTTTCTGAGAATTCTTAAGTTGTCCTTCATAGGGATCACCAGGCACAGGTCAAACTTTTACACGTGTCATGGGAGTGCCTCTGGTTTGGGCAGTTTCTACGGCAGCTTCCCGTGCCATCCTCCTGGTAAACCCCTTAGCTCAGCATCCTCACACGCTAATGTCATCCAGACGTAACTCCCTGTGTCTGTTAAAAGAACAGGGCCGTCTCAAAGGTACTTCGTAGCCCAGTATCAAATTAACATTACACATAACCTTATCTTTCCTACAACAATTTGTTGAGCTCTGCCCAGGTACGAGAGCTTGGGCTTGGCCAGCAACCAGGGGCAGCCGTTGTATTCCTTCACACGCCCGCACGATCTATAGAGCTTGTGTTTGGAGTGAGTTGTATTCCTTCACATGCCCATGCGATCAATGGCTTGTATTTGGAATAAACATGGAAATCAGAAGCCTGTTAACAATGCCCTGTTTGATGACTCTGAATGACTCTCTCACCCACGGCAATCGAGGGAGAAGGCCTTGGCACCAACCCGCAGAGCAAACCTGCTCCCCAGACTTCTCCAGTGCCTTCCAACCCTCCCCACAAAGAATTCTTGACATGCTATACAAAGGTCTCTGTTTTCTCCCTTAAATCCCACATGAATCCCACATTGAGCATCTGACGTTTTTATTCCCAGAGCACCACAGATTTAATTCAGTACTTCCATGTTCATCTATATTTAATTAGACCCACATATCTTGAAACTCTTTTACTCCAACCCCTCTGCCGGCATCTCCCATTCAACACAGAAATCTTTCACGGGGTTTTCTGTTTGCTTGGTTTGTTTTGTTAGGAGACAAACGTCACCGTGCTCTACTGTAAAGCTGCAGTAACAATTTGGGCTTCTTTTTAATTAGTCAGAGATGCCCATAAAATGCCCACAATCCTTAGCACTTTTCCTTCTTCAAAACCTATTTGATAAGCAATGTAGTTAAAAAAAATTTTTTCTCCCTACAAGGCCAAAAGGGTAAGTTGTACTAACCACAGGTAATTAGTACACTAAGTTTTGTTTCAAGGCCAGGCTATCAGGTTACAAGTTCTAATAAATCCTGCTCGGAAAAGACACTTCTTTGTCTTGGGACGACTGAGAACTAACCCATCCACCAAACAAAACACCTCCAAGTCTATCAGAAACTCTCCCATCTAAACACAATAGAAAAGAAAAGCCAACACCAATGCAAATAAAATGAATGAATCGGTCCTGCTGCTGGCAGCCCTTACCATTGGGGGTGGAGGTCCCCTCCAGACCCTCGCAGGGGCTCTTGCTCCTCCGGGAGTGGGGTGAGGGTGGTGAGGGGTCCGGGATGTGGGTGCGGGTAGAGGTGTGCTCCGTGCATGCTTGAACAGGACTCGCTGCCGTCTGCCTGCCTGTCTGCCACTCCGTCCTCTCGTCTGGGTGGGAAGGGCCAAGATGGAAAAAAATGTGCAGGTTACTCACTGGCCTTCCCGGGCGGGCAGGCGGGCACACCCCAGAGGAGGGAGAGGCGAGGCGCAGCCGGAGATTCTTCAGAAGCAGAGCTGCGCTCTTGCTTCTGGTTCCTTTTGTTAATACTTCCTGAACTTTAAACCCTGTCTGCATGGGCATGGGTACTTTGGGGAGGCAAATAGCACTTGAGTAATTAGATTCCTGGGCTTAATGCAAAGGTTACTTTGAAAAGGCAATGCTTCAGCACACACATTTTAAAATTTAACTCTGAAATTGGTTTCCACTGTGCCTGAGCATGAACATGGCACAGGGAACGAGGGGAAGGGGCTACCTTGGGGCAGGGGCTTGGAATGGCCTGGAGCAGGCCAAGTTGGATGTGATTTAGACAATGCATTTCTCTATCATTTGGGCTCTGAGTGGTAGAGACACAGGATTCTTTGCCTTATATAGGAAGCACATTCTTGAAGTAGGTGTCTGGAAATCAAGATTTTAAAAAATGGATTCACATTGAAAATGCAAGAAAACTTGCTACCTGATAGCCTGGCCTTTAGGAGGAATCCTAAAACGAAGTCTTTCATAAGTGCAGGGATCTTTCGGTACCGTGTTTTGGTAAGTGTGGTGTTCACAGAGGCACCACACTTACCGTGTTACCGCAGAAAGAGATGAACCGTGGAGCCGAGGGTCAGGAGGAGGAAACTAACACCTGTTAGAACCACTCAGGACCAGGTTCTTCTCTCATTTGATTCTGAAACCACGCTTAGGTATAAGGCATCAATGTTTCCCTTTCCCATGTGAGTGAACACACTGAGACCCCGAGGTTAGGCAACCTGCATAGGGCTCAGCCAGCTAGTGAATGGAAGGCCCAAGACTTGCACCTGATTTGCCTGAATCTGAGACCTGGCAGCGGGCACCATACTGCCGGGCAAGTCTTCCAACATGCCTGAAGAAATAGTCACTTGCCTTTGACCTAAGGCTAGGTCGCTGTTTCTTAAATACATATACAGTTTATGCAATAGAATGTAATTCTGCAGGATAATAATAGGTATTACAGAAGTAAGAAAACATGAATTTCTTTACTGTAGCTTCTAACAACCTTTAATACACGAATCTACATTGTGAATTTCCCAGCTCTGAACTGCATGAGTGCCTTATTCCCTTCCCCAAAGCTTTTCTGCTTAGGAGGCGATCTTCTGGGTTTGGGAAACACTGTTATAGAGACTGGTCACTGTGCTTTTCTTCCCCTCTGCTGTGGTCTGAATGTTTGTGTCCTCCCCCAAATTCACATGTTGGCATCCTAATGCCCAATGTGATGTTGTCAGTAAGTGGGGCCTTTGGGAGGTGACTAGCTCTTGTAGGTGGGGCTCTTGTGAATGGAATTAGTGTCCTTATGATGGAGATCCCACAGAGCTGCCTAGTGCCTTCCACCAGGTGAGGACACGAGAAGTCTTTGGCCAGGAAGAGGACCCCTCCCTGACTATGTGCACACCCTGGTCTCAGACTTCTAGCCTCCAGATCCATGAAAAACAAACTTCTGTTGTTTATAAGCCACCCAGTCTGTGGTGTTTGGTTATAGCAGCCTGACAAGACTAAGACCCCTTCCTTCCTGTTTGTTGTTGTTGTTTTTAATTTTCTGAACTTATAAGTCAAAGTCTACCTATTCTAAAAACCAGTTCCATTCTCCAAAGTAAGTACTATTACAATTTCTTACGTATCTGTCTCAGAAATTTATATGGATATAAAGCATATATGAACACCCTTTTAAAAATAACACAACTGGAATTAAAATATAACCATTATTTTTTATAGAAACTTAATAATATATTTGAGATTTTCCCTATCAGCATATTGAATGGCTGCTGGCAAGTCAGAGTGAAGAAAAGCACAAGTCGGTCTGTAACATGGGGCTACGCTTTGTGAAAGGGTCCCTACGTGGGGCCCAGTACACTGTGCGATTCTGTGCCCGAATGCCTGGCTTTCCTTTCCAGCTCCGTGTAACCGCCACACTTGGACCTCGTGTGTCGGATGGGGAGGATCCTAGACCTAAATCACCTCACAGGTCACTGTGAGAATCAGTGACAATGAGGATGGTATGACACCTCAGCCACCACTGTCCAGGCACTTTTCTTAATGCTTTATGTATATTAATTCGACAAAGCCTTACTCTCAACAACCTTATGAAGCAGGTGTCATTAGCTCCATTAAGAGGAGTGTCTCCAGCCCTGGCCGGTTTGGCTCAGAGGTTAGAGCATCGGCCTGAGGTCCAGAGAGACCCGGGTTCAGTTCCTGTTAAGGGCATGTACCTCGGTTGCAGTTTGTCCCCAGCCCTGGTTGGGTTGTGCAGGTGGCAACCACTTGATGTGTCCCTTTCACATTGATGTTTCTCTCTCTCTCTCTCTCTCTCCCTCTCCCTCTCCCTCTCCCTCTCCCTCTCTCTTACTCTCTCTCCCTCTCTCTTACTCTCTCTCCCTCCCACTCTATCTGAAAAAAAAAAATGGAAAAATGTCCTTGGGGGAAGATTAAAAAAATTTTTTTTTAAAAAAGAAAAGTGTCTCCAGATCGAGAGCAGCATCTCTGGACCGAGAGAGCCATCTCATAGTGCACACCCACCACACAGGGCACAGTAAATGCTTAAAGTTGTATTAACAAAGTAAACTATCAGTCTGCAACCCTGCCCTTTGCCACGGTGCACACCTCAAATTAGGAACACTGTTCTCTCCCTCAGGAACACTGTTGCAGTTGGGGTTTCTATTTCCAAACCTAACCTGGGTTTTCTATAAATTCCAGACATAACCAATAAGATCCTGTAAAAACAAAGATACAACAAATCTCATTATTTCACTTATGTGTGGAATCTAAAGAAAAACAAAACAAATGTAACAGAAAAAAGACTCATAGATTCAGAGACCAGACCGATGGTTGTCAGAGGGAAGGAGCGTTGAGGGGCAGGGTGAAAAAGGTGAAGGGATTAAGCAGTATAAATTGGTAGTTACAGAATAGTCACAGGGATATAAAGTACAGCATAGGAAATATAGTCAGTAACACTGTAATAACTGTGTATGGTGCCAGTCGGATACTAGCAGTATCAGAAGAACCACTTTATAAAGTGCATGATTGTCTAACCACTACGCTGTACACCTGACACTAATACAGAATAATTCTGAATATAAATTGTAATTGAAAAAGTTGTTTTTTAATTACTGGAAGAAACCTCTTAATTAGCTTCCTTTTCCATTGTATTGACCACGACCTCATGTACTGTGACAAACAGTGGCAGTGACAAGAAGCATCATTGTTAAAGAAAATGCAAGCAAGTGTTCTTCATTAACGACAATGTTTGCTGTGGTGTTTTTAAAAATAAACCTTGAATTTGAGATTAAAATAGAAACATGATGTTCCATGACTCAAAAATTAAAAAAAAATTTTTTCCTTTATTGAGTTTTAGAGAGAGAGGGAGGGAGAGGGAGAGGGAGAAAGAGATAGAAAGAAACATCGATGAAAGAACATCGACTGGCCGCCTCCTGCATGCCCCCTGACTGGGAATCGAACCAGCGACCTCTTAGTGCGTGGGTCAATGCTCAACCAGAACAAACTGTATCACAAATCTGACAAAGTATTAAAATACAAGTGAGAACAAGCATGGAACATTTAATTAGAAATAGCTTTCCCTGCCTCCTTAGAATTTATAGTCATTTGAAGAATGATTTGACTGACTCATGCCTCTTAGGAAAACTGTCTAGGGATCATGTGAATTAATACCTTCTTATCCTTTCAATATATTTTCCTATAAACATCAGTGGCCTTCAAAAATCAGTCCACAGGGTTCTTCCCCTCCTAAAATCTCCATAGTTTGAGACAACACTCAGAGCCTTAGCATTGGTTTGGGGTGCCCACATTTTGACCTACTCTTTCTCTCTCTCCACCCCCCCATCTCCCGCCTCCCACAATGCCTAAGTCCCCAGGCAAGGAAGGCCTTGAAGGTGAGTCACAGAGGGGCAGAAAGAGAGAGGGAAAGAAGGAAGGAAGAAGATTTGCATTCTTTTAATATGGTTACAGTTGAGTGGATATTACTCATTTTACACTAAAGGTTTAAAAAAAACAAAGTGCAGAGAACTTAACTCCTCCCCTCCTCCGACGATAATGCCCACGCCAATACTAGACATAGCTTCCAGCCTAGGAAATGGTCCGAGCTCATTCGTTTGGGGGAGGTGCCCCCTACCCTGCCCTCTGATTGAGTACAGTCTTCATGTCCAATGCATTCTATTTTTTTATTCTCGTGTTCACAACGACCATCCACCCAGAAAGAAGTCCACAGCTGGCAGAAGAGCGCAGCCCTGCTCTGAAGCAGCACATTTCCCAGGTAAGCTCGCTTCCCCAGCCGGGAGCACAGCAGGGATCGGCGGCGTGGCCCCCGCCCTGGTCCTGAGGCTCCAGTCACACGGGTGGGAGTTCCCACTCCCTAGCTTCTGGAACGAGCCTCACAGTGTCCACCTCACAGGCTGTGATTGAAGATTAACTAAAAGAAGGTAGTAAGACATTTATACACAGTAGAGCACCACACGAATGATCGGGTAGTGACCCTCACCGTATTGTGGCGCGACAGAGTCAAAGAAACACCACTAGAGAATTGAAGTCCAAATAAGAGCCGTTTAGTAGCCGGCCAGTATCTTATTCTGAACATCCCTGTGACAGAGTTTTCAGAGATCAGCCTCGATATGCTTTATTACATGGCTTTTATACCTTACAGCAAAAGTTTAATGATACAAGAAAATAGGATCGACTTCCGGTCAAGATGGTGGGTAGGTAAACGCGGTATCGCGTCTTCCCACAACCACATCAAAGTTACAACTAAACTACAGAACAACCATCATTCAAAACCGCCTGAAATCAAGCTGAATGGAAGTCCTACAACTACGGAATTAACAAAAAAAAGCAGCTACATCCAGACTGGTAGAACGGGCGGCGGCAC